TTTCTCAATAGCCATTTTGAGGGGAACATTGTACTTCACCTCCTTTCTTTGGTCGTTTGTCCAGAGCAGTTGTTCATTAACTATTTGAGGATAGATGGACTAATGGATTTTATAGATCAGGCTGGTGATTTATTTTTATTTATTTATTTATTTATTTTTGCTAAGTCAGCAAGTACTTATAAAGTGTCACTATCCTAAGCGCTGGAGATGCAGCATGGAGCCCAGCAAAGCTTGAGAATTGACTTCTGGTTTATATTTCTAGACAAAGTCCTAGACTGCCCAGGCCCCCTGGACATGATGGTGCCACGACTCAGGCCGGTAAGGGCCTCTGCCTTGGAGAAGACTGTACAGAAGGGTCATTCCTATGGGTCCTGTTTAGTTTGCTGGGCTGAGGGAATGGACAGGGATATTCCCAAGGACTCTGGAGCACTAATTTTGTATATCCCCTGCAGATGCGTCCACCACCTCCCCCACCAGCCAAAGCTCCGGATCCTGGCCATCTAGATCCCCTCACGTGAAGGCCAGGGGGTCACTACCCCCCAGTGATGCTGACAGAAACCAACCCCTCAATGATCTGGAGCGACATAGGCAAAAGCTGCAATCTTCTCTCATGTCCATGTTCACCTCCGGGGTAGAAACTGACCCTGTTCCCATTTCTGGGATTTGAGCCCACTCCTTTCCCCCATTGTTCCCCTGTATCTCTGGGCTGGAACTATCCCTTTGACTTTTTGCCATCACCCCATATCTAGGGTGGTAAAATAACCCCAAAATCTCTGGGGCTGGAACCCATTCCTTAAAGCCTTGTATGGCTCTGTCTCATCTCTGTCTTTACCCTGTCTCTGTGGGCAGCCCCACCCTGAATGCTGGGGTTATGAGGTCTGGAGCCAGGAGAGGAGCAGATCTTAGGAGTCAGAAGGAGCTTGAGCCAGGATACAAAGCAACTGTAATGGTCTGAGCAGATTTATTGACAGTGAATAAAGGGCATGAAGTCCAAGCTAGGGCCTGGGCCTCTTGCATCAAGAGGGCAGGGAGCCTAAGGTGCTATTGCTTTAGGGTCCCACCACGGGCAGGGCCTGGTCCCAGCTGCCACACTCCTGCATGTGGAGCGAGGTTTTGGGGAAGGCAGGCCAGGCAACCTGTTGGCAGGTAGGGAAAGGAAAAAGAATGAGGGGTTGGGAGTTGGGAGGCGCTCCTCCTGAGGTCCCTCAGCCTGGGACCATGTCACTCCAGATAGAAGTAGAGCTGGTCCCTCAACTGAGGAGCAGGCTGTCCAGTGGAGGGGAGAGCCTTCATGGCTGTCCATACCCTGGCAATGCCTGCTGGTAATCCATCAGCACAGTGAAGACTGAGGCTTGGAAGAAAGGAGGGGGGAACAGTGTTGCTTCCTCTTCAAGCTCTGATCCTCCTATTATCCAGATTGTATCTTACTCCTGCAGGACCTCTAAGCCCACTCCCCACCGCCAGCAAGGAATCTGTAACACACACTAAACTTGTAGGGTTCAGGGAGTTGATAGGCTTGGGTAGTTTAGGTAGAGGGTAAGAGGATGAGATTACCTGGTCTCGAGCTCAGGGAGACTTGCCTCACATACCCCCTGCTTCTGGTGGTAGAGACTCCTGAGAGAAGGGGAAGTATTCAGTGGGAGCAGGAGGTGGATTATCAGTGTTGCCTAGCATAGGGACAGTAATATGAGTCCACCACTGCCCAGTGAAGCCCTGGCCATGTCTTCATACCTGCTGACCTGAGGTGTCCAGTTTGTTTGGCTGTCCATTTGCCTCTTGACGAGGCAGCCCTGGGCTTGGGCCTCTTCCTCTAGTGCCCAAGGTCAGTTCTGCAGAGGTTCCAGGAGTTGCCTCAAGTGTACTAGGGACTAGGCTATCATCCTTGATTCCTCCATTCTGCACTGAGTGGGTGGCTACAGCCTGGGAGGATGGTGGCTCAGGGAGCAGCCTCTCAATAGCAGCTGTCCCTGTCCTAGGCTGCCCTCCTCCAGCCACCTGACTGGCCCCTGGTTCCTGCCCCCCACCAGAGCCCCAGCTTCTGTCTGTAGGGGAACCATCACGGTGTTCATGTAGGCCATAGCGTTTCTCAATGTGTGTCACTCGGAATCTGGATGGGAAGAGAACATTGCAATTTAGCACTACAGCTCAAATGTCACCTAAACCTCCCTCCCTGGGGTTGATGGCAGCTTCTCTGGCCTGGGGTAGGGGGGCCATCTGAGATTGTGGGACACTTAATGCAGCTTGACCCCTGCTGCAGTTGCTCAGTCATTCAGAGGAGAGATCGGGCCCCACCTTTGGGGGACAGGATTATTGGGGACCAACTTAGCCTCCATTTTCTTGAACCACTGTATTCCCACCTGCCCACTGAGAATACAGTGGTCTCTCCAGGCCTGGGGCGGCCTTTTCCTTCCTTAGAGCGACCCTGACGGACAAGCGGGGGCCTCTTGTTGCGGCTACAGTGAATACAAGGAGCTGCAGAGCCCAGATGCACTGTGTGATGATGGGAAGGGGCTCCGTCCTGCAGGCTGGAGGTGGCATCCACACTGGAGCACAGGAAGAAAGGGAGCAGAAATGATATTTTCATTTCCCTTCCTGCCATTTCCTTCTGTTCTCTCCATAGGCTCTTTAAGCCTCCCCAAACCCCACCTTCCCTAGGTTCCAGCATCCTTTTGTCTTTAGTAAATTCAGTGTTAAGCCATGAGTGGCCATGTGAATTCCTTTCCACCCTGTTTACTAAAGGGAGCAATGCTTAACCAAAGAAAGCAACACCAGAGGTGATTGTTAGGCTGGATGGTATCTAGATGGGAGATAAAGGATAAAGGGTTTCTACAAAACTTCTTCCATAGGTTAGCTAGCCTTGTCCACCCCTCCCCCTTCAACTCCCATGGTACTTGGGAAGACTGTATTAGAGGAGAGGGTACTCAAAGGTAAGCTAAGTCATGCTGGCTCTTGTTTCTACCTGGAGAGCTGCACTGTCCCTTCTCCTTCACTGTCCCCTAGCATCTCCTTCAAGGCCTCAGCATTGGCTGATGGAAGAGGGAGAAGAAGGAGTCAGTAGAGGTGGAGGACAGGGCAAGAGAAAGTCAGTTTGTGAAGGAGCAAGCTTTTGGCCTATACCCACCTTCATTTTGGATGATGCAGCGAACAATCCTCTCTACCGTGTCCTCATTCACGTCATCGTCTTCAGCTGAAGGATTAAAGAGGTTGGCAAGGAAGTGGGAAATGAGTCAGCTTTGGGGGGAATATGACCTGATGGCCCCATGGGTGATGGCTATAAAGAGTATCCCTTTACCTATGTGCCTTCATGCATCGGGCCAGAAAAGGTAGAAGAAATGGGCTCCCAGGGCTACCATGAATGGACCCCCTTCTCTAGCCTCGATTTCGGGGTGGTGTCACTTTACATGCAGACTCAAAAAACCACCATAAGCTGTCTTTGGGTTTCATCAGGATTTGGGCTGGGTCTGTCAGCCAGGGAGGTAGAAAAAAGTTTGGGGAGAAGGGTAAGGGAGGAAGGTGCTTTAATCAGGGTTCTAGGCTCCTCACTCACGGGGCTGGAGCTGGGCATCATCAGGCTCTGAGCCCCTAGATGTGCGGCAGCGGTAACCTTTCTTCTTGAGCACGTGGCAGATCATGAAGCCTACAAGGCCCATGAGGAAGAAGACCAGCACAAGCAGGAAGAGCATGTACAGCCCATGTTGGGGCGGCTCCAGGCCAGGCTGTGGTTCCGACATGAGGATCTGGAG